GTACTTCTCGTGAGGCAATATCTTTGAGGCAGAAGATCAAAGTATTCTGTATGTCCCCAGCACAAAATTATTGAAACAAGCCTGTTCACCCACTTAATTGAAATGGAAAGTTTTAGAACTATCACTTATAGATTCCTTTTGCTAAACTAATATATTGGTTCTTAAACTAATGTACTAATCCACATTGCTAAGTAAACCAGCCTGTATCTGTTGGAAATGTTTTTACCTATTCTGTGTTTTTATTTCATGTGCTAAAAGTAGCACATTTTGAAAAGAGTTGTGGAAGATTACAATATGTGCAGGACAGATATCTTCAGTTTTAAATTTCCAGTCAACTTTAGTCCTCTCTAACTTATAGGGAGTAGAGACCAAGTTAGTGTATTGTTTGGTGAGTAAAAAATAGGTCTTAAAAATAGCTGATGGTGGCTTGGGCCACTAAGCCCTTACTGATATTGTGGTTGACCCTAGGTAAGTCCAAGGTGAGTTTAGGAACTCATATGTTTGGACATGTCTTTAGAAGGATATTTTCTTGAAAGTTTTCTTCAGTTCATGTATGTCTTCTATGGGCCTGAGAACTAGTTTAGTAGTCAGAAAGATCTGAGATCTAGTTTTTACGGTGTTTTTGGAATCTGATAGAAAAACTTGCCTTTTCATATTGCTTTTTCCTTGGTACTTTTGAGTGGTTTTTTTTTTTTTTTTTTTTTTTTTTTTTTTTCCCCCAAGTGTAAAACAAAGCAGAAGGGTGATTTTTCAAAGAAGAATACAAATGAATGTCAAAGAGGCTATTTTGTTTTGTTACTGGAATCGGGGCCGTGAAGAAAAGCACTGTTACATTCTTCTGTGCCATATTTTAAGTACTTAAAATATGTTAAAATGTTAAATACTGTTAAATAAATGTTAAATAAATAAAGAAAGAAATAAATAAATGTTAAAATATTGTTAAAATGTTGCTGAGGCATGGGGAGAGATTGAATAACTTAACTGTGTGAGCATGTCAGGTTACAGTGAAGCTACTTGCTTTTCTGTAGTGACATTTGTAGAGCAGTGCAAATGAGGTTTCCACCAGTGTAAGGTTAAGAAAGATGTGTTATAAGCCTAAATGTCATGTACAGGTAATAAACAATGATGATAATTAGTGATAAGTCAGAGAAAATGAATTTCAGTTTTTGTATCTGAAAAGCGCATTTTTATAAACTGTGCCTGAGAAAAGAGAGTTGTGTAGGTTTGTAGGTTCTAGGTTTTTCTAATCATAATAGAGCTTTTGTTTTATTATTGATTCAAAGGGTCTCAGCGGCCTTGAGGTGCAGTAATTGTTCAGATCTGGGGCAGTCCTGCTGACGAGGGGCGCACGGTGGGTGGTGGAGCCGGGCTGTGCCGGGTGCTGCGGCACCCAGGGCTTCTGCTGCCCGCCGTATGCTGGGCTGTCCAGGTACATGTGCAGGCACTGTCCGAGGCATGGAACACCTTTGTTGAGGTATCTTAGCGGTAGTTAACAGTGAGAAATGGATTAGACAGAGGCTGGTGAAGGTGAGTGAGAATTAGCGTGATCTAAAAATAGCAGCAGATTTTTAATAGCAGTCACTGACCGTAAGTTTTTGTGAAGACTGTGCCTCCTGCCATGATTTAATAACACCGTTACAAATGTACACGTGCATTGCACAGCTGTGTTCACTGCAGGTATTTTTAAAATGAAAAAGAGTGCTAATGTACGGGGGGGCTGTGTGAGCAGTAAAGCAATGGCAAGCTGCAGTGCCCTGTGGTGTGGGGGCTGCAGGCAGCATGAGCCCTCTCTTGCCAGCAAGGTTCTGGCCCAGCGGTGCGTGGGTACTGCTAATTTGTTTCTGTTGGATGGGATTGCATCTGCTGGCATTTGATACTGGTAGTGAAGTTAGATCTCTTCAGGAGGGAGTAAATTAATTAGAAGTGTGTTGGTTCCAGTCAGCATAGGCCAGGAATTACGGTAGTGACTTTACCTGTCAGGCTGCTCCCTCTGAGGTTTGAAGTTGCATTTTCAGAAGGTCCTTTTTCCTCTCTTGGCCCAATAGTTGTCTCATGCAGGGCGCCTGTGTAAGGCTGTTTCTTCCATGAAAGGTTTGGAATAGATTGAGAGCTCAGCTTATCTTTACATTACTGTCAGCCACAGTTCTTGTTCTATATTCATGTCTTGGCAATGAAAGCAAGAAAAAGTAATGACTGCTTGTGGTAAGTGGTTGGAAATTGTTTGTGTAAGAGGTATAAAAACATAGAACTCTGTTGGCACGTCCTCCTCTCATTAACATAGCTCATGCTAGGACAAAAAAGTACATTTTCTAAAAGTCTTGTAACAGTTCCAAAAAAAAAAAAATGTTTTTGAGATAGAAGTACATTGGTGTAAGCAGGAAGTGTACAATCAGTGTTATTACTCGTGCAGAAATTCCATCTTTTCCACCCTTAGTCGTTCCTCCCATGACATTTAAGCAGCAGTGTTTCCAGAGATTTGTCCTCTACTCTTTGCATTGTTAGGAGGACTGTGTAAGGTAGTCATGTATATGTGTGTATGTGTATGTGTGTGCATGTATATATAATCTCCCAAGTGGAGCAAAACGAATTTTAATTATACTGTTATTTATACTGCTACAAGTATAAATGCATATATATTTCATCCTAAAAAGCATGTAGACTCTAAAGCATACATTAGATTTGTCAAGCTGGATTGTGTGTGGTTTTGTATGTTACACAGTTCATTATGAACTTGATTTTCTAAACCATGCTTTCTGAGGGTGTTTTTATGTCTTTGAGGATCAAATACTTGCAAAAATCTGCAGCTGCAAATATATCAACTCCACACGTAAAACAAACTCACTATCTTCAGCATTTAATATTAAAAGCAGAGTATATGCAGATACAACTTGCACACACATTGTCTCAATCATGCAGTGAAATCTATGTGGATGATCCCATGTCAGTTGAGTGCCAGCTACTCCAGTTGTATATGTGTAGAGATGAAAGATTCTGTGGTTGCGTAGAATGGAACTGAGGAGAAGCTAGGCACATTTTCATTACAGGCATGACAGAAATTTTCAACAGTATCTGTAATTTGCAGTTGAAATATCCTAATTTTGGAAGTGGTGTATTTTTCATTGACTGAAAACTGATTAACAGAAAGATACGCGTCTTCCTTACACTAAGTTTCTACCTCTAATCTCTCCTGTTTTAATGAAAACTTATATGTCTTTGCAAGCTCTGTGATGGTGGCAGTTGTGTTGTCCTACTTGTCTATTTCTATTGGTTGTTCTGGTTTTAGACTTGCGAAACTCTGCTTATGTCATATGAGAACGATTCAGCTTGACTCCCCTGTAGCAGAAGCCATAGAATTTTTTCTTAAATGTGCAGAGGTTATGATTTGTGCTAGTCCTAAACATGACAGTTTATTAAGACAGATAGGACATCTTAACTTCACAATAAGTAAATAGGCATCCAAGCGATGCTTATAGTACTTGTCATCCTTCACCTTCAGGAAGAGTTGCACTTTTGCAGGATTGAATTAGTTTCCTTGTTTTCAGATGCCTTTATAAGGCTAAAGTTCTTCAATGTTTACTGGTCTGGACTGGGTCCAAATCTTTCATGCATAGTTTAATGACTCTGTATGGTACCTAAGCCAGCATGCCAACTGGCCAATCATCCACTGTAACTCTCCTCTCCTGCAGTTGTAGTTTTCCCTGGATGAGCTGAGACAGTCTTTCATTTTGGCTGTGAGAAGGGCATTTTCCGTGCAAGTACCTAGGCAAGTCTTTTCTGTGTGCTTTCCTGGGCACTACGAGGGCCTGCTTTTCCTTCTCCCCTTCACTAAGTTGGAGCCTTTCATTTTTAGAACAGCTGTGGCAACAGCAGGCTGTGTATTTGCTGTCCTTTCCCTAGCCTTGACAGTGGGCACGATCCCCATGTTGCTGCCTGCGATCAGGATCAGTGGACATTCATGAGGGTTCTTAATTGCAAAGATAGAACAAAATGTAAGTGCAAATGGCTGATAACATGATAATAATCTTTGCTCCAGTTTCCCACAAGTAACTCTTTCAGCTGAATCTGGACACATCTAGTAGTAAAATTTTGAACACTTATCATCCTTTTCGGATTAATTCAGGCACAGTTTGAAGTTTCAGTCTGTTTTTTGTATGAATCGCTCCTCCTTATTTAATTAACCCATTCTATTAAAATAGTGAGCAATGCTATATTGAATGGAATTTATAATATTTTTTATATATTTAAGGCAGATTCCCTGTTAAGATATTGCTTACAACAAAATTGTGTGCTTTGATTGAATGTTTGTCAGTGATGAGGAAAGAATATCTGTTGATAATTCGTTTTGTTTTGTTTTCCTTGTAATCCCCAGAAGTTGTCCATTGTAGATGTGGTCTGTGGCAAAAAGTGATACAGGAGAAGTAGGGATGGGAAGGATTTTTCTGTCAAGTCGGGTGAAAGTTTGAGGAGCTTCGCTAGACAACTGCTGCCACTGGATGTTCATCCTCCTTTTTTCCCTTGGCACACATCATAGTTTTGTGGAAAATGAAATGTATTTTTTTTTTAGCAATAATGGATGCTAAAAGATCAAAGTAATGTAGTGAGACATATAGCCTTAATTTCTGTCATGACTATACAATCTTATGAAACAGATTTATATGCTCAAATTGTATCACTGTAAAAAGAGTACAAAAGCTTATAGAATCTTGGTACTTGTAAATCAGTTATGATTGTAAAATAGTGTGAGAATTTGTATTCTATATTTTATGATGTTGTGTAAACATTTCTCCTATAAAGCTGTTTTTTATTTTAGCTATACACCATAAACATGTGATCTTTATTTTAGTACAGGAATTGTGTGAGCACATTCATGAACAAATGCGATGAATGGATTTTTTCCCATTAGCTGATCTTTGTATTATTTAGTCGAAATTAAATACATACCTGTGCTACAGGAAATATTGACATAATTATTTTTCTTATTTCTTGTCATGATTGTTTAGGAAAAGAAGCCCATCAATATCAAGAGAACAGAACAGAAGATACGACCAAAGGGAAGAGAGAGACGAATATTCACAGTATGCTACATCAGACAGTGCGATGCCCAGGTCACCATCAGATTATTCCGATAGGCGGTCACAGCGTGGCCCTCAGTTATACGAAGAGCCTGAACTGGGTGATTATAGAGATTCCAACAGGAGGAGTCGCAGGCGTTCCAAGGAGTATCCGGTAGAAGAGGAGGATGCACAGAACAGGGAGGAATATGAAAGGCAAAGGAGAGAAGAGGAATATCAGGCACGATACAGAAGTGATCCTAACTTGGCTCGTTATCCAGTCAAACCACAACCATATGAGGAACAAATGCGTATCCATGCTGAAGTGTCCCGAGCACGTCATGAAAGGAGACATAGTGATGTCTCATTGGCAAATACTGAGTTGGAAGATTCCCGGATATCTATGCTGAGGATGGAACGACCCTCAAGGCAAAGATCGGTGTCTGAGCGCAGAGCTGCCATGGAAAATCAACGTTCATACTCTATGGAAAGAACTCGAGAGGCTCAGGGACCAAGTCCCAATCGTCAGAGGACCACAAATCATAGCCCTCCTACACCTAGGAGGAGTCCAATTCCTCTGGAAAGACCGGACATGAGGCGCTCTGATTCATTAAGGAAACAACACCATTTGGATCCCAATTCTGCTGTACGGAAAACGAAACGGGAAAAGATGGAGACCATGTTACGGAATGATTCACTCAGCTCAGACCAGTCTGAATCTGTCAGACCTCCGCCACCAAAGCCCCATAAAACAAAAAAGGGAGGTAAAATGCGCCAGGTTTCATTAAGTAGCTCAGAAGAAGAATTGGCATCTACTCCAGAGTACACGAGTTGTGATGATGTGGAGATTGAAAGTGAAAGCGTTAGTGAAAAAGGTAAGATTTCTAATTTTTTACTAGCTATATATATGCAATGAGGTTCGAGTTCCAGTTCATGATGTTTGTTTTACATATTAGAATTGGTTGCAAGCACACATTTACAGCCCTTTGTATATGACTTAAGTTTGTTGTGATGGCGTTGAGTTTTTCTAATTTTTTATTTACATGGAAAAGAACATCCCAGCTACTAGAAGTGTTTGGATATATTTAAGGAAAATACTTGCCTATTGAAAGATCTGTTAATTACATCAATACAGTATCAAAAGTTGGGCTATCTATAGGGCCATGATTTCATGTCCATTAATACCAGATTCGTGTACTCTTGAATCATACATGAATGCAAATTTGATCTGGATTAAATGGTGGGCATATGACCACATTTCTCTTATATTAAGTTGTGCATCATTTGCTCTAGTTACACTAGTTTCATGCTGGCTGCTGTAGGTTAAAGAGCATCTGATCCTAAAAAGAAAAAAGTGTAATTTTTAAAGAAAGTTGAAGTGAGTGAGTTGATTTGTATCAATGGAGTTTCCTTTTTTGATCTATGGCGCCTTTGGGTTTTAGTGCATTATAGGATTTGTGATATAGGCGTTACTTCCGTGTCAGAAAGAAAATGTGTGACTAATTGTCATGATTTCCTACCAATCCAAAGATAATATTTAAATTTGATTTAAATATGAAAGCAGTGTGGACCAGCAGTTTGAACTGAATCAAGTCAATATTAATTCACTTACCTTCATGTATCCTCTTGGTCTAAAATATGACAGTTATAACTTGTTTTCAATTGAGAGTAAAGAACCTTTTAGAGTTCATTTGCTATTGTCGTTGGATTAGAAAATTCACTATTTGATATTAAGGTTACTATCAAATCAATTCTGTAGTAAAGAAGTCATTGGAACTAGTGAATTTACTCTGAATTTTCATGTATTAATAGCAGCAACCGTGGTCTGATAAATAAGGCGGAAGATAGGGTAGAATGGAAGGAAGTTTGGCCCAGAGTTCAAATAGAGAGTTATATGCACTTCATCAAAAAGCATGATTAAATCCCAACACAATTTAAATTGGAAGAAAAGGTCTGAACTTTGGGTTATTCATAATTTTATTCTTTATAGCAACCTTGAGGAAAGTAGATTCATCTATGTGGAATAGTAACAGTGTTATTTGATGAAATTGACCATAAGAAACACAGTACACAAAATAATACAAATAATATATTGAAATATATACTGAATATATACGATATACAATATATACAATATACTGAAATATACAGTATATACAATATACTGTAACACGCCACTCACTTCCTCCCTGTGGCTCACATCCACTGTTTGGTCTCCATAAAAGTTCAGCAAGTATTGATGAATGTCAGTGGGAGCCTTTTTTTCTGCATGGTGGAATTCAATTACACACCTTTGCTTCTTATATGGCTTTAAACTAAAAGAGAGGAAATTGAGGCTAGATGTTAGGAAGAAATTTTTTACTTAGAGAGCAGTGAAGTGCTGGCACAGCTGCACAGAGAAACTGTGGATGCTCCATCCCTGGAGGCGTTCATGGCCAAATTGGATTGGGCCCTGGGCAGCCTGAGTTGGTGAGTGGCAGCCCTGCCTACAGCAGGGGAGTCAGAACTGCATAGGCTTTAAGGTCCCTTCCTTTTCAAGTCATTTTGTGGTTCTGTGAATAATACACTATTCCATGTCAGACCACCCCTCTGCTGCCATTTGTCACACAGAAACAAAGTGTAACAAAATACTGGTGGGAAGGTTCAACCTCTACTGCTGTACCACCAACATCCACCTCTGCTATCTTGGGCCAGCTTAATGAAAGAGGCATTATTTTCAGAGCAACCTTCGTATTTGTTTACATAACATACAAAACATATCAATTCCACCATACAAAAATGTTAGATTCTCTATCATTATAAGGACCTGGCTTAAATTAGAGGTTTCATTTGGATAATTTTGCTTTTTAACTATTGAAGAAAATGCATCATTATTGATAACAGTTGTTAATGTCATATATGTACTGATTTCCCAGGCAGCGAATGGAGCTCGTTTGAGTATTTGAGAAATGAATGGAAAAAAAAAAAAAAAGGGAAAAATGCCTTGTTTGTTTGCTGATCTTGAATGATCAAATTGTACCAAATGCAGTTACATAGAGCACAGCTCTATCAGCATGGTCTATTGGTGGCCTGTGACTGTGACCAGTGTGGAGAACAGTCCTGTTTTTACAGTGGAAAAGAGCAATTGCATGAGCTGGGGAAAAGGTCTGGCTGCTTCTGACTTTGCCCTCTTCCGGCCTATTTCTGGCCTTGCTGAAGTGATAGGGTGGCCAGGCACTGAGCAGCAGCTGGCCCAGCAGTCATAGCTGTACCAAGAGCCAGGCCCAGCTTCAGCCTTGCTCATGGCATCAGACAGCAACCTGAGCCCCATCATGTGTCTCTCCCACTCCTCATTCTGATGCAGAAGCACCGGAAAAGTGTTTCTGTGAGTGGATTTGGGAAGCTGTGGCTTCTGCTAGATGTGGGAAGGAGAGGTCTGCTACGAGGAAGATTTTGTAATTGCTGTAGGTAGGCTTGCAAAGTCCTACCTCCTTGTTTTCATTGCTTTTGTTACCATTTTAAACAGCCTGCACACACAGTCCATATAAGCAAGTGATTTCCTCCTGAATATCACAACAAAAACAACAACAACAACAAAAAAAACCCACATCAGTCTTCCTTGTATTACAATATATTACTTCCTTAACTGATATGATGGCATTTAATTATTTTAAAAACCTACTGCTGTAATAGTGGGCTTCTCCTCGCTAAGATCACACTGTTTCTGCCCTACTGACCTTCTCAGCCCTGAGGATTTCCCAGTGTCTTCCTAGTTACACACACTCTCTTTGGCCAGAGAGAAAGTGCCAACCACAAAACACTTGGCCTTGGAGTCGCAAAGGATGGCAGTGTCAGAATGAGATCTCTGATGTACAGCTCATTAAGAGTTCTTTAAAGGGAGAGAATAATTTGTTCTCCATTTCTTTCTTTATGGAGTGCATGTCTTTTCACAGACCCTCGAATAAATATTAACAACTGTTCAGCTGTGAGGAGCAGTTTGAGCGTGAGCACCAAGAGCAGCTGTTCAGTGAGCTACATCTGAGCTTTTATAAGGTCCTGACATTGGTTTTGAGAAAGCAGTTTGAGAATTGCGAATTATGCTGAAATGTAGGAGAGAATTATAGTTATAAACCTGTAAGAGGGATACAGTTTTTTCCTTTTTAAGCTTATAATCTCTAAAAGGAAAAGGATTGATACATATGATTGAGACATAAGAAACGAAGATAGCCATTTCATTTTACAAGTCCACGGAGATCAGCTGCTGGGTAAAGAGCTCTGGAAAGAGCATCTAGTAATGGTGAATGCCTGAGACTTAAAGTATTTGGGTCTGATCTCATTTCACTAGCTATCTTCCTTAAGGAAACTTTTTCCTTGACTTTCGAAAATTTAATCTGGCCTGTGGGATGCCTCTTAGAGCATTGAAAACATATATATATAACTTGACTGTGTTGTGCTCTTTTACAAAATATAAATTTTTATAAGCATATTTTCATTACAGACATTTAAAATGTACTTACTTCTGGAACAGATTGCATGACCTTCTTGTTTATTGCAAAACTAAATTCAGTCTAAAAGAGTTCAGTTTTGACAGAGAATGAAGTCTGTTTGGAAGCAATATGCTCTTGTCACGAAGTAAAAAGTGCAGTAGAGCATGCTTTCTGTGTACTGCTGCAAGAACAGTATATGGCTTACGTAAGCAGAGGTGCCAAACAAGTGGGAAAGTGTCACAGAGCTCTCACGTCTAAAGTCTAAGAGGTAAAGGACCTGGTTTCAATCCGACTTGTGCCAGTTTCTTGCATCTCCAACAGCTTTGAAGTTATACTGAGCAAAATTAGATCAGAAAGAGGTCATTGTTTCTAAAATCTGCTTCATTCAGGTTAGAGAGTTCCTGAAAGTCTAACTTCCATGGAACACATGGGAATTGTACTAGAAGGCAAAGTTTCAGGGCTGAGCTGCAATGCTTGTTATAAACACAAAAGAAGAGACTTTGCAATTCCACTCAGTTTCAGTATGGAGATATTTGAGCTTTCAAAATATTACATTTGGAGTGGTCCTACGAAAAGTAAAATACTGCAAAATTTGACATGTATTAAAACTCAGATTTTAGGCTATTGCTGCATTTCTTCGTAATGTTTTTCTTAATATTACAGTGTAAGAGAATGTATTTTGCATTTGTTAAGAAGTCCTCTTCCATGAAGACCTCTACATCTTCTGTAAGGAAAAAACATTTTTAAATATTTTAAGAGTTTGACTGGAAATTCAGAATTCTATTTTTATATTTTCTCCCAGCCTTCTTCTCTGAACACAGGGCTCTATTTCAGCTGCAAGGATAAGAAATATTAACTTCTCCCCATATGTGTTCTTGAGCAATAAAGCTGTTACTGCTTTTAAAGTACTTACATTGAATGACAAGTATCTCAATATTTTAAAATACAAAAGTTTAAGACCGTGGATATTTCTAATAGTAATGAGATTCTTTGTTGTATTTTTCCAAACCTCCTACATAGGTGCTTGTATGTTACATAGGAGATAAAGGGAAGTGATGTGATCTTCTGCAGCATCTGTAGGGATTTACTGTGTAACATTTCAAATTTGCAGTTACTTAACCCTGGCAGAAGTCAATAATGCCCTTCACAGAAAGACTCAGCCTCTTCCCAATTTCTGACTGCATATTCCCATCCTTATGTCACTCCTTCCCCACTGCTCTCAGAAGTTTTCAAGTAGGTACACTTAGCACTTTTTCCTTATGGAAGGTGGGAAACTTATGCAAGGTAACACCAATTAAGCAAGACAGTAGTAAATATTAACAATTCAAAGTTTCTTGATTAAAAAATGATATTGAATGTTTCATTATATATAGTACTGCTAAAAAATAGTGTGAAACTAATTATAACAT